TGCCACGAATCAACGGGTCAAACAGCTGAATTCAGTAGAATAAATATAAAAATGAATATTAAAAACAAAGTACAGACATGTATCCATATAAATAAGAGATGTGTGCTGTGTGACAGTCTGGGTGGTGTTGCATTAATGTGGTGCAGCCTCCTCCTGGAGGCCAGGAGAGTAAACAGTACATGTGCAGGGTGGGGAGGAGGTAGGATAGGTGGCTCTTTCTCTGCACCTGACGGTGTAGATGTCCCTGATGGACGTTCAGCTGCACCTGATAGTCCTCTGCAGACTTTACGAACCCCCTCAGTGAGCTGCAGAAGAACCCGAGGACACCAACATCCAGTCCAGCGCTGTTCAGCCTCCTCAGGAAACAGAGGGTTGACTTCTTTATAAGAGTCGTCATGTTGATGCAGGTTCCTGACAGAGGAGCTGCTCCATCTGTGTCGAGAGGAGGATCATACACTATAACATTATAATGAAACATTTCAGCCTTCTTTAAATGAAGACTTTCACAAACATGGTGCATCTAATAAAACCTGAGACTCTAAGAATCTGTGAGTCTTACCTGAGCTCTGAGCGCCTGGACTGTGAGACAACTCTGACCTTTACTCGTGCAGAGTCACATCAGAGCAGGAACACTGTGATCTGTGTGAGCGCAGATGAGATGAGCTGCTCTGAGTCTTAAATCAGACAACACTGCTGTGTTCATAACGGAGAATAACAGCAGAGCAGTTTGCTCTGTGGATGAGGTCAGAGGTCAGCCAGACTCTGTTAGTGAAGCAGTCTGAGGCAGCTCTTTTCTTCTCTGTCTGAGCACTCAAAGCACTTTATACAACGATTTCATTCACACACTCACACTTAACTGCTCTGTCTAACATTCATGACCAGTGTGTGAATGTGTGGATGACTGGATGAGTAAAGCGCTTTGGGGTCCGTAGGGACTAGTAAAGCGCTATACAAATACAGGCCATTTACCACACACATTCACACTCTGAGAAACAGTCGAACACCAACGTGTGAGACCAACAGCTCAGACTCACAGTTTACAGATGAGTCATGGTGGATCACGGCGGCACAGACGAGCAAACATGGTTTCAG